GCCTCCTCCTTCCTCCTTTGTTCTTAATAGCCGCAGTGCCCCAGGCCATTAGAAGCCCTGAAGGCTCCTGCAAGGCGGGAGGAGGGGGGGTGGTCTAGAAGCCTCCAGAGCCCAGGAAACATCCCAGAGCTGGAAGACTGGGGTGCTCCCTTTGGGACCTTCACCCCCTGGGCCCTGCTGCGAGTGTCCAGACCACGCCCTGTGTGACACCCGCAGTGGATCTGGGTTGTCTTGTTATCAGCTATGGTATTAGTGTTGAGCTCAGAAGAGGGACGTCTGCAAATAGGTGCAGTCAGTTCAGGGCAGGTGTTGGCACCAAATGGCTCAGGTGGGTCTCTGCCACCCTCCACTGACATAGGGAGCAGGACAGCAGGCTAGTGTCTGTGGGGGTGTCCTGGTTGTTGAGACTGACAAACAGCCATGAGGGGGAGCGCAGGAGATCCCAGTAGATGGTGCTCAGAGGGCCCCCTCAGGGCAAGCAACGGGGTTGGAGGGCCCCAGCAGCATGTCGTCCACTTGGTGCCTGACCAGCATTTACAAAGAACTTCAAGATGCAGCAGCAGGATGTCAGACTCCACCAGGGAGCCTTTCTGAGCATGAGGCCATGGGGCTACTCTGGCCACACACCATGAGGTGGCCCTGGAGGATGCACTCTGGTCCTGAGTCAGTGTCTCCTCCCAATTGGCCCAGGCTCTGGTCCCCGCTCTGCTGGTGCCAGCCTGGGACTCACCTGGGGCCTGGCTGCAGCAGCATTAGCTTCTCTCAGTGGAAGAACCTTGAGTTGGGCGGGTGGTATAGAAACAGATGGGATGTGGCTCAAGCGGTAGCGCGCTCGCCTGGCATGCGTGCGGCCCGGGTTCGATCCTCAGCACCACATACCAACAAAGATGTTGTGTCTGCCGAAAACTAAAAAATAATTATTAAAATTCTCTCTCTCTGTCTCTCTCTCTAAAAAAAAATAAAATAAGACAAGGATCCTATTTAAAAAAAAAAAGAAACAGATGGGACGGAATTTTCATCAGCTCAGAGAAGAGGGGCTCAGATTTAACTTGCTTTTTGGAATCTGAAGCAGCCAACAAAGCATTTCTTGTGCGCCTCTCTCTCTCTCTCTCTCTCTCTCTCTCTCTCTCTCTCTGTGTGTGTGTGTGTGTGTGTGTACAGGGAAGAAGGAGTCATGTCTCTTGTAAGAGCTTACTGACCTCTTTGGGGAGCCATATTAAACTTGAGGCATTCAAAGAGAGCCAACAATGTTCAGATTTCCCAAAGGGCTCAGACTAATAAAGGAAGGCGCCCTTGCATATAGGAGGATGAGAACGGAGGCATCCTGAGGAACGCCAGAGCTGGTCAGAAGAGTGAATGAGGGGAGAGAAAAAGTGGAGCTGGGAGTGAAGACTGGGTGGGAGCCCTGGAGAGAGGTCATCTATTCCTTCAGAGGGACAGGGAGCCACGGTCACAGAGCCCAGTCAAGTCTAGTGGAGCCAGGGCAGGACCGACCTGAAGGCCAAATGACTGACCACAGTGACTCGGTGGCCCAGCAGTGCCACTGCCAGGCAGATACCTGAGGGACATGAAGACCACACTCGCAGAGCTCACACAGGAGCCTCATGGACATACGGGACAGCGACCGGAGTGCCCACCAGCTGAGGATGACCAGGCAAGATGGGGCCCCCAGAGCCGACACGTTCTTAGCCACCACAGAGCAGTGAAGCACTGACACAGGCCACCTGGGTGGGCCTGCAGAGCTCGAGGGCACCAAGTGGAGGACTCCAGACACAGACCACGCGTGGCCTTCGCTTTCGTTACACGAAGCCCAGAATCGGCAAATCCACAGAGACAGGAAAAGAGAAAATCCAAAGCACCTTAGTTGGAGGGGAAGGCAGGAGGGTGGAAGTGAGGTGGTTAAAGGTGTAGGGTTTCTTTTGGGGATGATGTAGATATTTTTTTTTTAACAAAGTTTTTTTTTGATTTGCTAGCAATTTTAGTTTTTTGATGGACACAACATCTTTATTTTTATGTGGTGCTGAGGATGGAACCCAGCGCCCCGCGCATGCTTGAGCCACATCCCCAGCCCTTGATGTAGGTATTTTAAAAGTTAGAAAATATACTGAAAGCTGTGAAATTGTGCACTTTTTTGGGGGGGGGGTAGTACTGGGGATTGAACCCAGGATGCTCTACCCCAGCCTTTTTAATTTTTACTGTGAGATGGGTCTTGCTAAGTTGCTGAGGCTGGTCTCTAACTTGCAATCCTCCTGCCTCAGTCTCCAGAAAAGCTGGGATTATAGGCATGCACTACTGTATAAAGCAAAATTATACACTTTATTTTATTACTATTCTAATTAGTTGTACATGACAGCAGAATGCATTTCAACTCATTTTATACAAATGGAGCACAACTTCGTTTCTCTGGTTGTACATGATGCAGAGTCATACCATTTGTATATAGAGTAATGGGGTAATAATGTTCATTTCATTCTACCATCTCCCCCCCCATACCCCCTCCCCTCCCCTCACTCCCTCTTCCCAATCCAAAGTTTCTCCATTCTTCATTTGCCCCACCCTCCAATTATGGATCAACATTTCACATCTCACATGTTGGCAACATTATGGATCAACATTCACATATTGGCCTTTGGTTCTTTGGGATTGGCTTATTCCCTTAGCAAGATACTCTCCAGGGGCTGGGATTGTGGCTTAATGGTGGAGCGCTCGCCTAGCATGGGCGGGACCCGGGTTCGATCCTCAGCACCACATAAAAATAAAGGCATTGTGTTGTGTCCATCTATACGTAAAAAAATAAATAAATATTTTTAAAAAAGATACTCTCCAGCTCTATCCATTTACCTGCAAATGCCATTATTTCATTCTTCATTAAGGCTGAGTAATATTCCATTGTGTATATGTACCACAGTTTCTTTATGCATTTATCTGTTGAAGGGCACCTAAGTTGGTTCCACAGTTTAGCTACTGTGAATTGAACTGCTGTAAACAAAATTATACACTTTAAATGTATGTGATTACATCTCAGTAAAGTGGTTACCAAAAAAAGAAGAGGGTTGCTTACTGCAAATCTACATTTATTTATTTTTTAAGAGAGAGAGAATTTTAATATTTATTTATTTTTTTTTAGTTTTTGGCGGACACAACATCTTTGTTTGTATGTGGTGCTGAGGATTGAACCCGGGCCGCACGCATGCCAGGTGAGCGCGTTACCGCTTGAGCTCCATCCCCAGCCCTGCAAATCTACATTTAAAAGCTAACTATATTCTGGAGGAAGGAGGTGGCAGTTGCTAGTCCCTTGGGTCCTGGGCCAGAAACCAGCACTGTGGTACTTTTACCACATTTGACTGGGTGAGGCAGGCAGGAGCCTATCCAGATTCAGTGGGATCAGGACTGTTCAGGCAGCTCAAAACCCTCACACCTGCTAACAGCAACAGGAAACACTTGGCACTTAGCATTGTGGGTGCCTTGGCTAGTCCCATGTTATATAAGGAGGAGACTGAGGCCCGGGAGGTCAGAACCTAGCTGCACTCAGGGCTGCTGGCCAGCAGGGGGCCGAGCCTGCCAGTGAACTGCCTCTGCTCAACCACTGGGACACGCTGCGCTAAGGTGGTGGAGCAAGGATTCGTCTCCTTGGTTCTGTTTGCTTCTCTGCCTTTAGCACGATTGTCTGGAAGTATTTATTTTACAACATGTACGAGTTTTTCTGTGTGCTTGCACTGAAGTACATTACAAAGGCACAGAAGTCCTCTGGCTGGCAGGACCAGGGAGCGGGCTACATTCCCAGTTCCCCGGTGGATGCTGAAACCACAGGTGTGCCCAACCCTAAATATACTGTTTTTTTTGCATGTACATAGATGCCTGTGATGAAGCTTGAGTTTTCTAAATTGGGCACAGTAAGAGATGAGCAGCCATAGCTAACAAGTAGGACAGTTATAACAGTACACTGACACAAGAGGAGAATGTGACCTGTCTCTACCTATTAGCTGCCTTATTGTACTTACTTACACTTGTTCCCTTAAAGGAAGCCTTCTGTGGCTTCTCTTTGGCATATCTGAACTGTCGGCACCACTGTTCTTGCACTTCGGAGCCATTACGTAGTGAAATAAGTGTGACTTGAACACAGGTGCTGGGATGCTGACAGACAGTCCCTGGTGACTGACAGGTGGGGAGCTTCTCAGTGTGAACACGCAGGACAGAGGGAACAACTTGGCAGAGTGGGAAGGTGAAAGGTTCATCATGAAATCTAAAGTTTATAAATTGCTTTTTTTTTTTATGCCAGGGATTGAACCCAGGGGTGCTTATCCATGGAGCCACATCCCCATTCCTTCTTATTTTTTATTTTGAGACAGGACCTTGCAAAGTTGCCGAGTCCGGCTTTGAACTTGAGACCCTCCTGCCTCAGCCTTCCAAGTCGCAGGGATTAGCAGTGTGTGCCACCTTGTCCAGCTGAATTGCTTATTTCTGGAATTTCCCATTCAGTATTTTCAGACCACATTTGACCTTGAGTAGTCAAATCTGTGTAAAATGAAAGGAGAGAACCACTGTATCACATTTAATTCTCATGCAACTCCATGAGGTAGTGCTGTCAGGTCGGACCATAGAACTAGCTGCAACTGCAGGTAGAATACGGCTGGGTATAAGTGTTTCCAAATGGTGGACCTACTCACCCTAATAGGTGAGAAAAGCTTAAGAGGTACAGGAACTTGGCCGGTCAGGTGTGATGCTGGTAAGGGCCTGGGCGGGGCCTGCACTTGCGGGAGGACGCCCTATTTGTGCTGTCAGGCCTGCGTGCATGGCACTTCAGACTGCCAACGCCTGGGGATCCTGAACTGGAAGCAGTGAGCGTGGCTTGCACCCCACTCGCCCCTCCTGACTCTTGTCCTCTCTCTCCCTGCAGCCAAAGGGTTTGGAGCCACCTGCCCGTCCCTCTCCACCTTCTACTTCCTTTTTGTTGTCTTTGTGGTGTCCACCATCTTCCACTGCCACCGGCGCCTGGCTCTGGTACCTGCCCCCTGGGCATATTCAGCCCAGGTGGTTGTGGTCCCCAGACACCACCCCCAGGAGGGCATGTTCACTATCAACTCCAAAGGCCGCCTGGGGAACCAGATGGGCCAGTACGCCACGCTGTACGCCCTCGCTAAGCTCAATGGGCGGCCCGCCTACGTCCCTGCGCAGATGCACAGCACGCTGGCTCCCATCTTCAGGATCACGCTGCCAGTCCTGCACAGCGCCACKGCCCGCAGCATCCCGTGGCAGAACTACCACCTCAACGACTGGATGGAGGAGCAGTACCGCCACATCCCGGGGCGCTACGTCCGCCTCACGGGCTACCCCTGCTCCTGGACCTTCTACCACCACCTGCGCCAGGAGATCCTGCAGGAGTTCAGCCTGCATGAGCACGTGCGCCAGGAGGCCCAGCGGTTCCTCCAGGCCCTGCAGGCCACGCAGGCCTGGCGGATGACCTTTGTGGGAGTGCACGTGCGCCGGGGGGACTACATTCGTGTCATGCCGCAGGTGTGGAAGGGCGTGCTGGCCGACAGAGGCTACCTGCAGCAGGCCCTGGACTGGTTCCGAGCCCGCTACCGTTCCCCCGTCTTCGTGGTCACCAGTGACGACATGGCCTGGTGCCGGCAGAGCATCGACAGCTCTCCTGGAGACGTGGTGTTTGCTGGCAATGGCCTTCAAGGCTCCCCCGCCAAGGACTTTGCGCTGCTCACACAGTGCAACCACAGCATCATCACCGTGGGCACCTTCGGGATCTGGGCCGCCTATCTCACAGGTGGGGACACTGTCTACCTGGCCAACTTCACCCTGCCCAACTCCCCGTTCCATATGGTCTTTAAGCCACAGGCGGCTTTCCTGCCAGAATGGGTGGGCATTGCTGCGGACCTCAGACAGGCCCAGCAGAGCAGCCTCTAGACCTGCTTACCCCTCCCTGTCCTGGGCCTCTGGGGTGTGTTGTGGGGGGGATTGCAATTCAGAATGTGGAGTTCAGGTGGTATTTGAATTTGCCTTTTCCACTTCATAGCTGAGTGACCTTGGACAAATGTCTTCATCTTTCTGTGCCTTAGTGTGGCACCTTGAAGATGAACGCAGGCAGAACTTAGCAGTAACACATGAGAATCCACGAGTTCGTGTAGGGCTCTTGCTTATGACTCGTGGGATGTGTGGGTATGGGAAGGTCCTGGTTGCTGAGGGCCAGTGGATCATACCCACTCGCCAGGTATGTGGCCTGATGAGTGCCTGGAGCGCTCTCACACAGAACCTTACTTTGTTGCAGCACTGGTAGCATAGAGTCCCCATGTTCCATATCAGATCCTAGGGGGTTCCGTGGAGGCCATTCCTGCCCTGGAGCTCCAGGAACTCAAGGCTTTGCATCCATGGGCCTTCCCATGACGGAATGCGAGGGATGGCAGGATGCAGTACTGGGTCTTGGAGGTGTCCTCAGTGGGGAGGCTGTTCCCTTGCAGGGCGGCCAATCCAGGGCGAGAATGCCTCACCTTGGCAGCCCCGGCCACAAAGACTCGGGGTGCACATTGTCATGGGTGACAGCCTGACCCTAAAGGGCTATGGAGACTAGACCACGGCCATCTCAGCAGCTGCCTGCAGATACGGTGACTGGCAACAGACGCCTCACCCCTGCTCTGCCTAAGCCCCTGGGACCTCACTGCCACTCTGAGCAATCCCAGCGTGGCCTGCCCAGGCCTGTCTTCCATTGCTGTAACTAAGGGTCACAGAGTGGGAAGATTATAAAGAAGGCAGGTTCTTGAGGCCCGAAGACCCATAATATGGTGCTGGCAACTGCTTGCAGCTGGGTCATGACATGGCAGGACTGAAGGTCCTGGCTCAGGTATGCCCTTTTGTGAAGCCACGGTCCCCTGGGATTGGCCCTTTGTCCTGTGACCTCTTACCTCAGTTGCCTTCCAAAGGTCCCACCCCCAGGCTCATAGCTAGCTTGACTTCCCCACTCTCCTCCCTCACAATGAGGAGTAACTTGCCACCCAGAGTCTTGGTGAGGACATTCCAACCATAGCACAGACAGAAGTGGGGTTAGGTGGCTACACAGCTGGTTTTCCTGTATTCAGTGTTGTTGTTGTTTTTAATAGGAATTTTATTTTTACTTTTTTCCCACATTTATATTGGTGCATTATAGTTGTACATAAGTTCAGTGTATTTTAAAACATGGAGATACCAGAATGTTATTGGTGTAATGCTCCTTTATGGGTATTTTAAAAATCATAACAAAATCATTTGAATTCACTTAAAATTCCTACCAGGTGTAGGTGCCCTGGTTTAGGGACCCTCTCTGTCACTCTCTTTCCTGCATGACACCGTCTCCAGGGCTCCTGCTGTTTGACTCGCCATTCTTGGGCTCACTTCCAGAGCCCAACCCCTCTTCCCCATGGAGTGCTAATGTGCCTTCTCAGAGTCGTCTTGGGCCTGGCTCCTTCCTTCCGTCCTTGACAGGGTGGTCAGGTGTGGCGTTGGCTATAAAGTGGCTTGGGCACGGCAGGTCTCTGCCAGCTCTCCCCTGCCACGTAGCAAAGCACCCTGAGACCTGGTGCTTAAGACACGGACAACATTTGCTCTCTCTCGCGGTCTCTGGGGGGCTGAGCTGCGCGGCTGTGTCGGGCAGCCAGGAGATGGCCCTCCAGTGTTAGCTGGGCCGGGGATCTGCTCCCGTGGCTGGAGGGTTGGTGCTGGTCCTGGACATGACCTCTGCCAGCCACTTGAGTGTCCTTGCAATGTGCAGCCAGTTCCTCCAGAGCCAGGAAGCTGCAGAGGCCTTGGTGACCTAGCCTCAGAGGACGCACTGTCACCCCTGCCCCATCTATCACTCCAGACAGCAGCTCCGCCTCCACGTGGGAGGGGACTGCACCAGGGCCTGTATCCCCCAAGTGGAGGTGGGGTCCTGGAGCTTGGTGATTCAGCACACCCCGGCTCAAGCCACAGATACCGATTGTCTTACAGTCATGGCGGACAGAAGTCCAGGTGGAGGGCAAGCAGGGCAGCTCCTACCAGGCCCAAGGCAGGATCTGTTCAGGCCTCCCTCCTCGCCTGTGTTGTCTTCACGTGTCTCCTGCTGGGTCTTCACATGATCTGCCCTGTGGGTGTCTGTCCTCATCTGGTTTCTTATGGGGACACCAGGCTGGATCAGAGCCCACCGTAGCAACCTCATTTAATTACATCCCATGACCCTATGCTAAGGTTCTGGGGGCTGGGGCTTGAGATTTTGTGGGGACACAATCCAGCCATATGGTGGTCTTCTGTGATTCCTAGCTGGTTCCCTAGGGTCCCCTTCCCTTTTCCCTTCATCCTCTCAGGACTGGCCCTCAGCAACCAGGATCTTCCTCACATCACCTTGTGGAGAGACTCCAGCAGGAGGGAACAGGAATCTGGGGTCCTGACCCCTGGGTGAGGGCTGTGCCCAGATTCCCCCCCAAGTAGACACCCATGTGCCACCCCCTGCTGACTCCTCCACCTCCTCCACCTTGCTGCATTCCTAGAGGTCAATCGATGGCACCTGTGGCCCTATGGCCACCTGTTGTGTTGGGTTAGCGGAGTCCTGTCCAGAAGTGGGGCAAGGAGGGACAATAAGGTCAGGTTATTTGGTCTCCCAGGTCACTGGCCCTCTGGAGCTGTGCTGCCTCGCTGGCCCGCGATCTTACCCGTGCTGCTGACACCATACTGTGGAGCTCAGCCCGGGTGGCCCAGTCTGAGTGTTCCTTCTACGTGGATCCTGATCTCACAAAATTCCCACGTTGACATTCCCACTGGGACACTGAAATCACTGGGGATCTGTGTTGGCTCACTGAGAACGATGCAGACACACGCAGACTCACCTTGACACAAATGGAGCTGGGGACATTCTGGGGCAGGGTGTCAAGTGCCACTTCCCTGCTCTGGTCTTTCCTCGGCATCCTGGGGGTGATGTGGATGAAGATCTGGGAGCCCCGTCATGCAGCCTCCTTGTCTTGGTCCCTTTCTGAGGGCCTCTGCCAGGAGGGAGTGGGACAGAGCAGGCCCCATGCTGGCTACTGTGGGCTGGGCATGTCACTTGTCATGTGGCACTCAGCTCTGTGTGATCTGGACACGAAGGGCCCCACTCTGTTCCCCGCATGTTGGGTGTTGCTTGGATGAGGACGGCCACAGCTTCTCTTTTATAAAAGCCCAGTAGAATGGCAAACTGCCAATCATAAGTTGCATTTATTCATTTGACAAATATTTACTGAGCTCCTCACCTCATTTGTTAGTTCCAAAGCAGAAGCTGGCCAGTGCCAAAAAACCACTCCTGTCCCTCGGCAGAGGGGCAGGAAGGAAGCCAGCAGGATAGGCGCCACGTAGGTTCCCCAAGCCACCACGCCCAGCTCCTCAGATGGCACTGAACCCACAGTACGTGCGTGTCGCGGGCTGAACTGTGCACCCCACCCCGACATTCCTGTGTTGGAGTCCTAACCTCCAGTACCTCAGACAGTGTGACCTAAATTGGAAATAGGGTCATTGCCGATGTAGTAGTCGAGACAAGGTCATGCTGGAGTAGAGGGGCCTTGGTCCATTAGGACCAGGGGCCACCCAGACACACAAAGGGGCAAATGCCGCAGGTTGACAGGGGCAGAGGTGGACTTCTGGCATCAAGAACTGTATGAGGAATGCTTCCTGCTGTTCCCAGGCACCCAGTTTGTGTGGCCCTGTTGTACAGGAGCCCTGGGGAGTGGATAGTGTCCTGTCTGCCAGCTGAACATGGAGACCCCCCAGATTGCTGGTGCACTGTGAGGCCTGGGCTCCATCCTCAGCTCCGCACATAGAGACACAGGTGAGAGACTAAATTTTCCCTTGGCCTTGGCCCCAGGCCTGGGTTCTGTTAGGGAGTCAAGCAGAGAATGGACCTGGGAAGCTGCCAGGAGCTACGCGGCTGTGGCCCCGAGTGACCTAGCAGCAGAACCCCTGCTTCTGAAGTCTGAGTAGCTGAGAATCTCAGAGCCCACTAAGGTGGTAGAGAGAACTGAACCAACCCAGCCGGGGTCTAAGGGCCACGGCTCATTCCAGGGGTAGACCCCAACCGGAAGTGGACTCTGGTGTACATCTCCCTCTGGCCCCCTTCACCCTGACCTTGAGTTCAGCTGGAACTGGAACTGGAAGAGCTGGGGAGGCGGGGTTCACCGGCTGCGTTTCCTCCCAAAACTCAGCAGGACGCTCACGAGATTTTCAGACTTATCACAAGAATTTTTTCCTCCTTTTTCTTTTCCTTGGTGCTGGGGTGGAGCCCAGGGCCTTGTGCATGCCGGGCACACGCTCACCACAGGCCTCATGACCCTTGAGGCCCCTCCTCATCACCGGGAGGGTAAATCTCCTTAGTCCACTCACCGAGCTGGCGGCGGCAGCTGGTGTGCCAGGCCGAGGTTAATCCTCCCGGCCACCCCAGGCTCCCACGCTCATCAGCCCGTGATTTGGGGCAGGGACGGTGCCTCCCTAAGCATTAGAACAGTGCCTGGCCAGACATGTCCGCAGGGCAGATCCGTAGAGACTGCAAGCGCTTTGGTCTGGTGTTATGGTTTAGATATGAGGTGTCCCCCAAAAGCTCATGCGGGAGGCAATGCAAGGAAGTTCAGAGGTGAGATGATAAAGTTGAGATGCCTAACCTGTCCAGTGCATCTGTCCACTTGAGTGGACTCACTGGGTGGTGGCCGCGGGCAGGTGGGTCTCTAGGGGCACACTCTCCCTTTCTCTTCTCACCCCTTCCTGGTGGCCATGTCCTGAGCTGCCTCCCTCCACTACACTCGTCTGCCATGACGTCCTGTCTCACTGTGGGCTCAGAGCAATGGAGCCAGCCGTCCACCCAGACCTCTGACGCCAGGAGCCCCAAATAAACTCTTCCTCCTTAAAACCATTCTTGTCAGGCCTTTTAGTCACGGCGACGG